TAAACGTGAAGATATAAAAGATATGCCAGACATGCATTATAAATCAATTTCCAATTAAAATTGAAAATTAAGAAGGCAGAAGACTTTTCGAGACCTAACGAATATTGAATGCGCTTTGGCAGATGTTTAGAGGAGAGAAAATTGTGAAAGATTATACATAAATACTGATATTTATTTATATTTCATTTTAGTTAACTCTTTAATTTTTGCATATATAAAAATCAAGTTTGGGTCGCTTCTGGCATATAATAAAGTCGTAGTTGACGAATATTAACTAAAGTCAGATTATTTCCAGTTGATTTCTATAATGCTATAATCATCTAACTGCAAGCAGATCTCAGTCTCATTATGAATCTATAATACATCAATAATCAAAGAGCTCAACTTCAATATTAAATACAGTTCATTACAAAAGCAGTCCATGCCCCATTTTATAGAGCATAAAAAACGCAGTCAAACCTACCGGAAATATGAAACCCTGTGTGTGAGACCACGTGTGGAGTTGCCGTTGAAGTGTTTCAGAGTTTCATTCAATGCGGTTAGATTGGAAATGAATTGAGGTTAATCAGCGCTAGAGAAATTTAAATAGCATAAAGAAGAATTTCACTTTTTAACAGGCCCAAATGGGCCTCTTCTTTAACTGTCTGCAACAGACAGTCGAAGTTTTTCAGTCAGTGCACAGACTTGTGTGTATGTGTGTGTGTGTGTAATATTTGTAGTATATTAGTTTACAAAATAGCTTGTACTATTCCATCATTCGTTTTTGGCCAGTCACGTTTTCATATTTATTTGGTAATTTGGACTTGGAACGTTGAAATGCTGCAAACTCTGAGCTGCTCCCACAACGTGTGCCGGGTTGTCTAAGGTCAGAGACAGAGAAAGATGCTGCTGCGGCTGCTGCTGAACGCCTGCCCCGTGGGCCAAAATCAACAAACGCAAAACAGACATAAGTCTGAAATATGTCTGCAACAACAACAACAAACAATCACAACAACAGCAACCTCAACTGGCGCCTCGGTCACTTTGATCTATGCACTTCAAATGATTTTTTTCACTCTTGGCGTTGCCTTTTTTTGCGCCGTCTTCAGTCTGATCGTCTTTTGGGCTCTGCTGCTGCTGCTGTTGTTGTTGTTGTTTGTGACGATGCGTAAACAACGAAGCGGCAGTTGAAATGAAACGGCAACTTTTTGGCCTGCCAGTTGAAGCGGCAAAAAAGTTGGCATACATATAGACAGACATATATATGTTTTCTTTAAGTCGTTGCGGGCGTCAAAGTGGGGATAGCAGCAGCAGCAGCAGCAGCCGAAGAAGAAGAAGAGACTTTGCAACCGTAAAAGTGTTCGTTTAAGTGGGACCTGTGGTAATGTTGATCTTTTGAAATCGAGGGAGACGAACGTACGTTTGCTGAGGCATGGGCGGGCTTCTAAGATGTTTTTCTTTGACACATATGCTGTTACAGATTTGAACTCTAGACTTGTGTTGGTGTTGCTGGAGAGGTTCTTTGGTGAAATAAAAACAATAAGCAATTTGTCTATGTGCAATGTATGAGAGCAAGGTGCGAATACTCTTAGATAATTCTGCACTTAATTTGTATGAGAGGCTGATTGACTAGATGGAACTATATTTTTTTAACTCAACTTTAATAATACAACAATATTTGATTAATTTAATTTATAAATTGAAAATTGGGCTGCAGTTTCTAAAGGGGTTTCATAAGCTGATACAATATCTAAGTAATTATGAAAATGTTTGAAAATAAATAAGTTTAAAGGGTTTGGTAAATAGAAGTTGTATATTCAGACACGTTAACTGTCCTTTGATCAAGGCAATTTCAGTTGACGTTTAGAGATTATCAGATTAGTTTAACTCAACTTCCTGCACTAAGCTAGTGCTATTCGGCTGAATAGCTAAAGTATAGTACCTCTACTCGGTTACTAAATCATGTTGGCTTGTGAAATATTTCACTTTTCTTAGAGATTTATAGCTGTTTCGACTAATATATATACAGACAGGCAGAATAAATACATAGTAAAATTCAAAACTATTAAATTTCAGTAAAATATTTACTATAGGTAATAAACGAGCTTTTTAGATAATCAATTATGTCTTATAGAAATTATATGAGTTTTTAATAATAAAAATTTTCCCTTTCTATATATTCACATTTAATTTATATTAACTTTTTGAGTACATCATTATTTGAGCTACTTTTAATCAAAAAAATCTCACATATTCGTGACTATTTAGTCACTTTCGTAGCTCATTCAGTTGTCGATTTCAAATTGACCCCTTGCTTGTCCCATTGACATGATATTTCGACTAGTCTTTGTGTTTCAGGTTACCAAATTTCGAATTTTCTGCTTTAATCCATAATATGCTCAGCTCTTAAGTCTTACAGTTTTCGTGCGAGCGAAGCTTAATGTCAACTCAACAAGCGTCGTGTCTACAAGTTTGACACTTGCATTTGTCATTTGGCTCATTTGTTTGCTGTGGTTTTTGTTTTGTGCTTTTCGGTTTTGTTTTATTTTGTTTGCCTGTCCATTTGCTACGCTTACATTTTCAAGTTTGTAACCGTTACAGAATCCCTGCCCCACACGCCTCGCATCTGGCAGCGACGTCTTGTTTTTTCCTGTTTATTTTTGTAAGATTCGGTTTTTGTTGTCGTTGACTTTGGTGAAGCTTTATGTGCAATTAGCGAGCACATTGTTTATTTTTGTGGCACGTTTTATAGTAATTAAAAAAGTCGAAACATGTTGTCCACGAAACGCTAGATTAGTGCAACATGTAGGTGTAGCTCTGCAGCTCTGCAGTGTCTTTCGAGCGAGCTCAGTGCAGCTACTGTCAATATTTGTGGCTAGCCGTGTGGCAAGTAACTGGGATTTGTGGCAACCTCTAAGAAGCTTGACACCCACAATAGCACTTAATACAAAATATATTCCATGTGCAGCCAACCTGGATTCCTCCGCTCTTCAACGGCGAATGTCATTCGGGCGCTAAGTCCAAAAATTATTTGAAATGCGCCCACAGTCTGATCTTAACTAAGCTCAACTGGATCTCTCTGTCTTATGTCAGCATCAGGCTCGTTTGCAACCATGTTCATAGATTGCCGTCTGTCTCTCCAGCAAAATGCTAATTGAGCGAGTGCTACAAGGCGCCAAGCGTCCAAAATGCCGAGACAATCTATCAATAGACCCCCACAGCAGCAGCCCAATCAAATTGGCAAAACAATTTTATTTGCCGATTTTCATTTTGCATTTTAATGTAATTTGATTCGCTTGCAAACTCGCTGAGTGATTTGATTACATAAGAAATCAAGAAAAAAAATTCAACGAGCGGGCAATCAAATTATTATTAATGAAATATCAATAAATATTTCTTTGGCTATAATTATGTGGATTATTAATCAAATTTATTGATTTGCAAACATGGCTTAAATTAATGAATAGATTTTGGACAAATATTTGGACTTTTGTGAGGGGTTTTAATTGAAAAGGTTAGAAGTTGGCTAAAAAAAAATAAATAAATATATATATACATATATATATATATATTTTTTTTTTCTTATAAATACATTTTTTATGACTGCTTATCTTTTGATTTATGGTAAATGACTAAATGTTGATGTTAAAAAATTTGTATACTTCTTAGATAACTGTTGAAAGCATTCGGAGTTTTTTGTCTACAGGAACTAATCATAATATCATAAGAAAGTCAGGTATATAATATATATATTAATACCATGGCATATGGCATTTTGCATCTTTTTTTATTATTCGATATATTTATTTTATTTTTTTAACTTTTTCAAATTTTTTAATTAATTTATTTTAGTTTACGTCACTCAACTCTTTACTCTCTCTTCACTGCCTCTCTCCCTGCAACTCTCTCTCCTCTCTAAATGCATATTGATATATAATAAAAGGTTCGTTCGTCTATCGGTTAGAATATGCAATTTCTTTCGATTAATACAGAATTAATGAAGATAAACGACTTGGCTAATGTTTCCACACTCATTTATTTCTACATTTTGAATTTCTAGCTTTTACTTTTAGAGTAAAGTTCTCAAATACCAAAATCCTTTAAAGCTGTTTTATTTATCTCTAATTACTAGCAGAGATTCAATTTAAAGATTGTCCAAATTCATCTAAATAACTTTAATATTATTGATCAAATCTGTCAGTTTTGCCTAATTGATCAATTAATTAAAAACTTTAAGCTCTAAATTTAAGGTAAAAGTATATTATATACATATGTATGTATTGATTTTGATATGTATATAGTAATCCTCGAAGCATCCACTCTATGCACATTTAAACTACATTTTTAACCAGCAATTCGACTTAGATATGTATCTAAATGTTTTCCCACCTTCCATAGACAATTTATTTCAAAACAGAAGTTTTGTTTTAAATCACTTCGGGGCAGTTCGAAGCTCTATAAATTGCATTAAGCACGCTAACATTTTGTGCACATTCGAATGATATCTTTTATCTCACTCTCAATTGGACTTGAATGTATGAAAATATCTTTTATCTAATGCATTTGACTTGAATATATGGCTCTATTAAAATCGATGCCGTCTCTTTGAGAGTTAAATGGAAATAAAAAGAGTTCAACTTTCCGTTTTGCAGCGAGCACAGCACCTTGGTCTGGGACAGTTTGGCGCCTATGTTCAGTCCGCTGGCAGTCAAAAATGCCAATTGCTTTTGGCCAATTAGGCAGGCTTTCTAAGTTGGCGAGAGGGTAATTATGCTAGCCAGATAGTCACTTGAGGTGCTCCGAGATAGCATGACGAGGTGACGAGCCCGCTCGCCAGTTTGCCATTTAAGTGGGCAAACACATTAGCTGCCATAAACGAAGCGAATGCAATTTTTATTAGCGTAATTAACACCTTTTTGCTGCCACTACAACTTCGACTTCTATTTCTATTTCTACTTCGTTTTTAGACTTTTATACGCGCGCGACAATTAAATGAATCGTGAGTGCGTCAATTTACTTACCGCGTTGCCTCGAGCGCTGTGTTGTTGGCGTCGTTGCTGTTGGTCGCAGGGGTATAAAATGTTGTGGCACCAGACGCATACCCGGTGGACAGGGTGGCAGGCTGTCCAGATTGTTATATAGCACAATATTGTTGCTGTTGGGGTGTATGAGAAAGTGTTGCTGCTGTTGCTGCTGCTGCCGGCTCAGATTGCCAAAGAGTTGCTGCTGCTGCTGCTGCTGATAGTAGCTGCCAGGCAGCAGCGCAAAGGCATGTTGCTGTTGCTGTTGCTGTTGCTTTAGCGGTCGCGGCGTTATGGCTACAATGTGCTGCTGCTGCTGCAAGCCAGCAACATGTTGTTGCTGTTGCTGGTAGCTGCTGTGTAAACGCGTACGATAACTGATGTGTTGCTGCTGCTGCTGCTGAGTCTTTGGTATTATAGTTGTTGCTGTTGCGCTGCTAGCAATTGTTGCTGTTGCTGTTGCTGTTGTTGTGCGTGTCGCATGTGTCACATTGCGCTGATAATGATGCGGTCGCATTAGCTTACGTCGCTTGTTGCTGCTGTTGTTGTTGCCCACAAATTTGCGACGCCATTTGTTGCGACGCGCTGGCGTTGTTGCTGTTGTTGTACTAGCAGCAGCAGCTGTTGCTGTCGCCGTGGCCGTGACAATTTCATTGAAATTGCTGCTTATATTGATATTTACACTGCTATTTACACTAGTTATTTGCTTTTGTTGCTGTTGCTGTCGCTGCCGTTGCTGCTGCTGATGTTGTTGTTGCAACATGTTGCCCGCAGGCATGGCATGTTGCAGCGTGTGTGTTATGCAGACTAGAAAGATGCATAAATGCAGCAATTTCGTTGCTGCCGCAGCAACATTTCGCTGTTCATTCACGCGCTGCTTTATTGACGCGTCTGTCATTTTGACAGTTCGTTTGTCAGACGCTGACATATTTTTCTAATTTGTTTCTCCCTCTCTCCCTCTCCCTCTCCCTCTCCCACTCTCTCTTGCAGTCAGAGTGACTGTGCTTTCCAATTAGAATTTGTTGCCTTTCAATGAGTTTTCACACATTTTGCGCTGCGCTTTCTTTGTGTTTGGTGTTTGCATTGAGCCGCAGAACATTTCCCTTCTGTTAGTTCAGTGAGGGGCAAAATGTTAATTGTTTTCGTTGATTTAGAGAATTTGTTTTGTGTTTTTTTTTTTATAACAATCGATAGTTGCGAGCGTGCCATAGCAGCGCGAATAACAGATTTGAGTTATTTTTTACATTGCAAGAAAATTAACTTAATTTTATAAATATTATTATAAGAGTTCAAATTTTCGTTTTTTACCCGAATTTATTTCCCTATTTAGCACAGCAAATGAAAATAAAATTGTTATAAATTCTGTTGCCACATTGCTTTTTAGCCAACAGCAACATGTTAGCCATAAATGTTTCAACAAAACTTTTGACAATTTGTAAATAAACAAATAAAAAATTTACAAAAATCGAATTTGGAGCATAGACACACAGGCAGACAGCTCTAATAGTGTCTGTGTGTGTGTGCGTGTGTGTTTGCCTAGCAAACTAATTAGTAAAGTTCTACAAGGAAAAATAATGGCAAATACTTTCAACAAATGTGTTACAATTCGTGTATTTGTTTTGACTAAAGCGCACAGAATTTGTAAGTCGAAAAAAACTATTCTAGACAGCGGCATAGTTTAAAAGATATACAAAAAAATAGAGTCTATGGAAAAGGAAACCACAAAATAGATATCCATAAGCTAAAGAACCCTTCAGCTCAACAAATTGAAAGCTATACGAAACGCATAAATTTCTGCCGCAAAACTCATAAACTTATGTCGAAAAGTTTATTATGAAATGTTTTGGATATATTTATATGTATATTTGTAGCCCAAGTTAAGATTCTAGCGTCATCTGCTGATATTTTCCAGGAAACGCAGCTGCAAACGAAATTCGCATAGAACACAAAGCAAAGCAAAGGGAAACAAAATCAAATCATAAACTACAAAGTAGATCTGAAGCATCCAAAAAGCAAACAACAGCAAAAAGGAAACTTTTAATAGAGATCGTGATGTAATAAATTTCAAATGGAACAACAACTGCTAACCGTAAGCGAGCTACAATACAAAAAAAAAAAAATAAATAAAAACTCTTTGAAAACGGCTTTCGTTATGTCTAACTAGATGAGCTATGAATATAGTGAATAATATCGAGCCACAGATAGTATTATTATTTCAGCAATCGCAGAGCCTCAACAAACGATCGTAAATAATCAAACATGAACTGACAAATCAGCAAGAAGAAGACAAAAAGAGTCGAGCTCTATAGGTGCTATGCACAAATGGGTCTAGGTAGTTGCCAGGGTCAATGGATTTGGTTTCCCTCTGCACACAAGTGGAAAATTAGTTAGAGAGGAGCAAGAGCAACAGCAGCAACAACAACAACAATATACAACAAATTTGAAATAAGTGAGCTTTTGTTTTCCATTGAAATTTGGCGGCTTTTGGTTATTTGATCTTTTTTTTAACAAACCTAACAACAAACTCCACAACAACAACAACAATACATGAAACATTTTTAACATTTTTTTTTCATAATTTTTTTTGTTTTTTTATTTTTATTCTTTTGCTTTGGTTTGCTCTTAGTCATTGTTCAGCATCTGCGCCGCATTTTGCGGCTACCTTATTTAAATTTCTCACATTACAATTAAATTGGACTTTTGCCCGTTGCTCAACTTTGGACGCTGTTTTTATATCATTTTTACCTGGCTCATTTAACATTTCTGTAAGCAGCTCGTAGAGCAAAGTGCTTGAGTTATGCGTGCCCTCTCTCTCTCTTTGATCTGTCTTTTTAGTGCCAAATTAATGTAAAATCTGAAATATGTCAGAGCTGTGCGCGTTTATAATTAATTGTGCAATTGCGGCCTAATTGAATGTGGCATAGCCCGTTTTTTGCTTCAGGTGACAAGAATTGTGTTTTCTCTTCTGGCATTACAAATGCTTTTTGTGCTTGTAACTGACTGAAGGAGTCTATACTATAGACTATACTTATAATGTCAGCTGTATTATATCAATTTAATATAGTCAAGCTCGTCTGGCTCTGTATCTCATAGGCAGATAGAGAAAATGTAGAATGTTTGTCAGCTATGACAGCAATATTAATGCTGTGTCTTTGGAATATCTTTTGGCAGAACTTTAAGTGCACTTCAGCTTGGCTTACAGATTCTACAATTATAAATAGAGATTTAAAGTGCTCTTGGTTAGATAAAGAAAGACAACTCAGGGTAGCTTCTGCAATACAAATTGAAGGCAATTCTTTACCTTTACACAAAAACATTTAATTTGTAAATTACAAAATGTACACAGAATATAAGTAGCTAAAGAACAGCTCTGCTTACATTCATAATACTACTTTTAATACTAACTATTTCCATATCAGCAAATACTTTCAAAGATCTTCTTTGTGCCAATCTTAGAAAAGCATTAAATCTTCTTTCTTTGCGAATCTCAATCTTAGCCTTATTAGTACCAGTTTTTTACGTTCCTACAAAACTCATTTGTATACATTTCTAGAGTTTTATGGCACTTCCATTTGCCACCTGCCAGCCACAGTAGCAGCACTCGCCACATACATCTTCATTTGTTTTGTTGGCTAACCCAATTACAAGACTGTTGAGCATTTCGCACACTTCGCACCATTCACTATGGACATGCGGCCGGGCAAACTAATCTCTTGACGCCTTCCAAAATGAAGGCAAATAAGTAGCCAACGCTGAGAATTGTTCAAACTGCTGCTCATAAACTATTTTAAATATCTAGTGGTGCAGCGGTGCAGCAGTGCAGCCAATTGGGGCAGCCACCCGCTGACCCGTTTGATCAGTCTCGACTGGACATGGCCACATGTTGCGCTCCATAGGAATGATCGTAATGCTCGCTTACGGAATGAACAAAGCATATTGGCTTTATGCAATGTGTGTATTCTACTTGAGAGACTTCAGATTCGGAATATATATGCATATATATACTTGTGTATGCCATCAGAGTGTAACTGCTCTGCTTTGAAGCGTGGCAAATGGGAAAATATTTTACCAGAAAAATAACCTTAAAATGTGTATCTTTTCTATAGATTGTGCTGTTATATATAGGTTTTCAGTAAATAGGAAAAATTAAATCTACTACAGATCTATTATCCTCAAATTTTGATCACTGTTGATACCTTCCTCAAAGCTATATCTATATACATTATATGCTTCACTTCTTAAGACGTCTCAAGTCCAATTTACTTTCAGTTTAACTCTAAGCGAGTATTTAGCAGTCAGTTAAGCACGACCACAACATTTAAATTACTTTTTTTTTCAATTTTTTTGTAATACTTTTTTGTTGTTGCATAATTGCAATTGAATTGTTTGGCACGTTTCGATTTCGTTTAATTGTACACTCTAGAAACACTGCTAGAGGAAGGGGTGGAGGGGGAAATATATGTTAATGATTTGATTTAGTGCCTCATTGGCTACCATTTCGAACACATCAGCGTCATGTACACCCATAAATTTTATTAATGAAGACATTTTTTACTGCCTTTTCTTAGTTTTTGCAATTGATGTGTGTGCGCCTGGCGATGAGCCCCATTTGAATTGATCAATTTCCTAGTGAGCTCCTTAAAGTGGGACATACAAGTTGTGGCCTGCCACAGCGGGTGCTCAGTGAAAGGTTGGGATAAGAACAAGGGAACTAGGTTATGGAAATGAAATTTATGTAATTTTGTTATTGCTTTTCCTTTGTTAACTAGATTCAAACGAAACAATCCATAAACTGATGACATTTATTTAATGAAAGATTTATGCTGTACTAAGCTGGAAAAATGTTACGGGATTGAAATAGTTTAAGAAGAGTTCTATCATTGAAAATGTTGAGATTGAAAATATATTGAAACAGGAATAGGCTGGAGTGATAGATGAACCAATTCTTGTTTAAATATTTGCTTGAAATCTTTAGTTTAGTTCGATTAAGGAGATAAATAATTAGAGGAATAAAGATCAGTCTAGACTAATAAATGTTTCGATTTCTGGGACATATTTTTTATGAATTCTTGAATCCGAATAAATACAATTTAATGAATTGTTATGCTCAATGCTTGTTGATGATTTTTAGAGCTTTCAGAAATTGTTGATTTAAACAACATTAAAAATTAATTTTTAATATTATTAAAATATAATATAAAATATTATTATATATTATTAATTTAAATAAATTTCTTTAAATAAATAATTTGCAAAAAAAAAAATAATATTTGGATTAAATTAAACATTTCCCAAAGGCTTTCTTATGATATAATCATTCCTCCTTTTTCATTACAGCTGAAATTTCTAGATAACATTTTTAATTATATTCCTTTGCTTTTCAAACAGAAGCCTCAACTGTCAACACTAATTAGCTAAATGAGCTAAATCAATTATTGACAGAAATTTGATATCTCTTAAAAAAAAGAAGAAAAAAATCGAATATCCTTTTGGCTGCCAAATCAGTGAAGTGTTAAAAATAGCCGCCAGCTAATTACGTAGAATTGTCACTTTTAATTAGAACAAATACGGAAAATACCAGATAGACACACACTCAAAACACACACACACACACAGACAGCTGAGCAAGTGACAACGCATTGTCAAGATAAAATAAAAAATATTTTACTAACAAAGTTGCGGGCAATTTACAGATCTAAGCAGCGACTGTTGCTTGGCCTGAGGCGAACCAAACGAGTTTGCCGGGCTCTTAAATTTTGGGCTTAGACTGTGAAAAATGGCAGTGCAGCAGGACGGGCGGGATGCAAGCCCAGTAGCAACAGCTACGCATAGCGAGGGGCTGCCGCAACGAAAAAAAAAGGGGAAAAAATAATGAGCCCACATAAGAAATGACTTAATCGCTGGCGGCTTGTTAACCTCAACTTGAATAGTTTGTGGCTGGGGTCTTTAAGTAGCTGCACAAATAGAGATTTACAGCAATTTACTTGAAGGCCTTAGCTCTTTGGACTGCCAGTCAATAATTTTCGTTGGCCTCCCAGCCGCCTGGTCCGCCACCACCCTTTGCAGATTATAGGCTCTGCGAGACAGTTGAGGGGCAGGTTGTCTTTGGGTTGGGCTAGGCCGGGTTTTGGGGGCAGCGACCACCGTCAGCGCCTTTGAGGAATTGCATAATTATAGCATTTTCCGGGACAAGCGAGCCCAGACAACGGCAGCGGCTGCGGCAGCATGCAAACGCGCTCGCACTGGCAACAACTTGGCCCAGGTTCAGGCTAATTTGTATACCATACCTCCAGACGTTTGTGTTTGTCCATATAATCTAGCTAATATGCCAGCTGTGGATACTATAGCACTGTCATAACAGTTGCTTAACTAGTAACTGCTACGTGGCAAGCCGAGCCAAGAAGAAAGAGTTTTAAATAAAATTTCGCTTGATCAATTTAACTAAAGAATAACTTTATAAATTTCTTATAATTAGGTATATTCAAGATTTATGACTAGCAAATGTCGTGTCAACTGTCATATCAGACTACAACTTGGTTAAGCTTCTCATTTGAAGAAAGAGCATTACGATTTCGTTGCATAAAAAAATATATTTCCATTTGCCTTCTGTAGTTATTTTACCTTTTTCTTGAGCCCGTAGGCTTTGCTGGCTTTAAATGTAGTATGCTCGAAAGTCAGTCTGTGCCTAGATGCCAAGCAGATGGAGAGTAAAGGCAAAGCGTCTTGTACAAATATTGTAATGGCATGATATTGATCTTGATTGTCAAGATCGCACACAGCATGATCGCAGTGTATGTTCGTCGCTCGTCGTTTGCCGTTTCCGTCGTCGTTGTCTAGTCGCGAGTCGGGATTCGAGAGAGTCGAAAAGTCTTAGAGTTCAAGCAAGTTGCATTGTTTAACTTTGACTTTGTGTCAGTTTTATGCCTGCTCGATAACGATCGCTGATCGTGGCTGCCGACTGTGTGCTTGTGTGTGTGTGTGTTATGTGATTAATCGTGTGTCGCTGCATGGGAAAGGGTCGCCTGCGAGCGTAGAAAGTAGCACTCATATGCATATGAAACAAGCGCACTCCAACTTCAACTTCAACTCGCACACATTTGACCACAGCCAACTCAATCACTTGCCTCGAATGCACTTGTTTCGCTACATCCAGCAGCAGCAGCAGCAGCAGCAGCTGCTGCAAACTTTCAAACTGATGTCCGCTGATTTGAGTGACAGGCAGAAGTACTCACTCTCTCTGTCTCTCTATCTCTCTTTCTCTATCTCTGTTCGCCTAGACGCCAGCAATTGAGGAAGTAATTAAACTTAAAATTATAATGTTACTTCTATATGGATCGACCATCGATCTTCATGATTTTTACCATGTGTGTCTACCATGCATTTGCGCTCTGAATAGCAATTTAGATTTATGTGCATATTTTCAATATAATTTGCTAAGTTTTCATTGCCTTAGCTCGTTGGCGGCGATCGCTTGAATGAAACATTTAGAGATTGGCTGATCGATGGCTGAAGATAAGCAGATG